TTTGACAAAGGCCAAAATAAGAGGCATATTCTATTTTATAACACAATATTCTTCTTCACGTAAGAGTTAAGCTTTGAGAACACAAGATGAAGGAAGCTTTAAAAGCCATTCTGAAATAAAAAGCAGTTTGGGAAATTATGTGGTATGCCAATCAAGAAAATAACACACCTTGAACATCTGAGGAAGCAATGTTTTTCTTTCGCCAGAGCTGCCCTTAGAACACCAAGATGCCATTGGAAACACAAAAGAACACAAAGTGAAACAAGCAAAATTTGGCCCTGCTTTCATTATTTAGCCTTACCACTCTTCCAGTTTGGTTTGGACTGCCTTGGGCTCAGGAGATCCTACTGGCTTTGGGGAGCTCAGAAAACCCAAAATGGAGCCTACAGAAAGGAAAAAAGAAAGCTGGCTACTAAGGGCTGGCCCTAGGCACAAATGCTTTATTAAAAAAAAAAGTCAAGACTTTCTAACTAGGATGGAAAATACAGTCTTACAATGGACTTTCACAGGGCAAGTAAAACTATGTGAAAAATTACTTGGATATCTTAGGCAGGTGTTTCTGGAACATGTCAGGTAGAGGTAGTTGAAACTGACACAGCCGGGGAACATCTTTGCCAACCATTTCCAAATCAGCCCCCGCTCACCAGGGTGGGGAGGGTTGAGGGTCATAGTGTGGACGCCGGCACTAAGGTAAACGGTGCATATTCTTGAAAAATATGGTTAAAGGGTTCTTCTCATATCATATGGTTGGAGGACAAATCAGTAAAATCATTTGGAAAAGTGGCATGAGTCAAGAACTACAAAAGCGTTCATATCCTCGACCCAGAAATTCCACCTCTAGTAATTCGCCCTAAGGAAATAATTTATGCACAAAGACATTTGCTGTAACTTTATGAGATGCAATCTAAAATGCCCCATGGGGAAAGGTTACACAAATCATGGCACATCCATACAATGGAATATCAAGCAATTAATAAGAGTTGACAGTTTTTAATGACATGTAGACTGAGGAAAAAACCAAGATACAAATTATACTGAGAATGAATAAACCTATGTAAAAACATGTACAAGAAGCAAAGAGACCGGCAAGAATATGCAAAAATATCAAAGGGCTTTTTTTTCTTGGGTGATGTAATACAAGCAATTATTATTTTTCTTTATAAGCCTTCTGTATTGTCTAAAATTTCCAAAATGAGTGTGTATTACTGGCATAGACAAAAAAAAAAAAACCCAAACATTATTGAATCAAGGATTAAAGAAGAATGGGCATTTTTATACAGCTTTATTTGTTCTGCTAGGAATTGGGAGTGTGGCTCCTAATAACAAAAAAAGGGGGCCTACAAACCATTCATTTGACAGGAGCATCAGACTAAAAACAAAAACAAAAAATGTCAGAGAACTTCTTAAATTGTTTTCCCCAAGTTTCACCATATTCATGTGGAACTGCAGCAGAAAAGATGGTGAAGAGGGCCAAGCCAGCGATCACTGATCTTAATGACAGTTCCCACAGCACGTGGATCCAGGGCCACAAAACACATCAGACCCAAGTTTAAATGGCGCACTGTTCTGCATTTTTCAAAATGAAAAAAAATTAGGAAAACAAGTGTTTACTTAAAAAAAAAAAAAAAAAGAGGAGAAAAAGTAAATAGTTAAGTGCTTTTGTACCAATTAGGGGCTAGAGAGAAATAAAAGGCATATTTGAGAATTAAACTAATGGTTTGTAAGAATTAAATGTACTGAAAAAGACAAAACGTAACTAATGAATACTTATTAGCAGAAGAAAAACAAACAAACTTGGTTACTAAGTGACACGTGTCCAGGACTGGTCTGAAGGCAGAATGCCCGAAAGGTCTAATCTCAAAGTCAAAATAGTCTCTGTTGAATACCATTCCACCTACAGTCCAACATTTTAACCTTTCTTCAAACTCTTTAAGATTCTACCCTAGAGAAACTTGTTTTACACCAAGAGTTATATGGCTCAACTTACTTATGCTGTTACAACCCTCACCTAATCATAGTATTTTCATCCTAGCTTTCCTGAAGCACGTTCTAAGATAAGTGCCACATAACCTGAATTTAGCTCTATTATTTCATTTGGCCATCTAATTATCCTATGACACGTGCCAAGGATTTTTACCTTCTGGGCAGAAATGGACATAAAATCCTAAAGCGGCTCACCTTAGGGTCAGAAAGTTTGTGAATGTAAGCAGAGCTTAGCTGTGAAGCTATATTCAGCACTGATTACAGTGTCAAGAGTCACCAAAGGCAAGAAAAGCCCTTCCCATTTCTACACAGGAATAAAGACCAAAACTATAGGTTGCCTCAGTGTTTGTAAGAGGAGACTAGAAGCTGCAGTTCCCTTCCTTAAACAAGATAGTCCACATAATCACTGGTTGGCTGACAGCTAAGACAATGTCCTCTAAAACTGTATTACACTTGGTTAAGCAGAAATCTGGGCAAGCAAAACACACTGCTGAAAAGTCAGGGTCTCAGTAAAAGTATTTGGTGACCATACTAAAAAAAAAAACAAAAATGCAAATGAAAAGAAACCATAATGGCTTAATGGATCATGCTGTTGTCGTAAGGCAAAAGCATAAAGAAAAGTACTCACCTTCAAAGATAACACACTAAAAGCCCAATCTTAAGATTATAAACTTAAAAATGTGTTTTTAAAAACATTAGTTGCCTGTATAAATTAAAATCTTATATGTAATTTCAGTGTAAAGCACCAAAAATGAACACTAAAACTGTTCACATAAAATAGTAGAAAAGGAAACAGCAAAACTATAAAAGCACAGAGGTATTGGTTACAAGAACCAAGTACATAAATGAACTTCTACGAGTATTTCCATTTACCTTATAAAACTCTAGTAGATTAAATGGGGGAGGGGGAGTCTCAGAATCTACAGGGTAGCAAAATGGTAACAAATATACATCATTTATTTATTAACAAATTATACCACACAAATGAGGGTTACGTTTTCTATCTGATTACAGAGTGAACAGAAATCGCGTCTGTCTTTCGAGCAGCAACAGAAAATTTTACTAAAAGAAATTCCCTACCTGGACCAAAAGATTGTAACAGGGACTGGAGATCTGATGACTAAGCAAGTAAAATGGCCACCATGGCGCAACCCCGGGCGGGGAGACGTGGTTTTGTTTCTACGCTTTAATGGGAAGCAGCTCTCCAAAAGGGGGTAACACATTAAGTAAAGGGAAGATGTAGCCAAAGGGGGGGATGATGTAAGAAAATCACATGAAATTAAGTCTGTTTACAAAGAGAGCAGTGGCCCTGAAAACTTGAGGTGGTGTTGAGAGGGGAAAAAAAAAAAAGAAAAAGAAAAAGAAAACAAACAAACCAAAAACCCCACAAAACAACAGAACAAAACAAACCCAAGCAGTGACAAATCAGCTTCTGGGAGTTACACCAGCCCTGAAGTAATGCGACTGTGTCCCTAGTCTAACTGACACTGGGAGACTCTTCATCTGGGTACTTTGGTTTGAGAAATCAGTTAGATTAAGTCATTTTTAAAAAGGGTTTTATTTTTCAAATAGACACAGCTAGGGAGAGAAAGCTAAACATGAAGTATTAATTCCTTGAGACCTCAAAAATTTAGGAAGCCAAATGAAACAAAGGGAAATAGAAAATTTGGATAGAAATGTTTCTCTAAGGGTAAAACTCAGTCTCCTGAGGTTTTTAAAATCAAGCACATTCTGAATGAGTGGTTTTCAAAGTGGGTTATAGGCCACTCTCCCCAAACCTTCCTTACTCAAATTCAAACATTTCTAATTCTGTTTGTCCTTCATGGTATCAGGAAAGATTGCCTTTTAAAAAAAAGTAAAAGGAAATCTGATGCAGTCCCTATGCCTTGCTATTGTTTGTGTTTTCTTTACGTTTGAAAATCATCACGGACACTGAAACTGTATTGGTGAGAAATAAAACCAGGGTCGTAAACCATATTTGCATTCTTAGTGTTAGTAAAATCTGAAAAGGTTCAACAAGTATTTGTGTGTTATTCTATAAAATAAATGAGCCAAAGAAGTTCCTAGGAAGAGATTAAACTCTTGTTATTCCCGCCGCCCCCCAATCTGGTCTTCTGCTGCCTCAAAGCTCTCGATATTTCTGGTCAGTGTGAACAAAATTCTAATGAACATTCTAGCCACATGTTACTCCAAAAACATTTCACTCAACATTCAACGGCTGCATAGAATTTCTTTTTCGAGAAGGCAAGCCCAATTTTATAGAGATCTCTAGAATGAGCATGTACAATTACCAAAAATAACACACGTTATGTCAGGGCAGAATCTGCATAGCGTTCTTTAGCACTATCATTGATAAAGAGCAGCCAAGTCCCAGAACTTTCCTCTGCAATTGCTAGCAAACAACATCAAAGTGTAAATGACAACCAGGGAAAATACACAACACAGGCCATTTCTCTTTGATGGCTGATATCAGGAAGAAAAGAGGAACCCAAGCTGTGGCCACTTATCAGGGTTTCACTACTTCAATGAAATGGAACAAATCTCCGTGGAAAGGACTCATTCAGCAAACACGACTTCCTTCCATGTATCTTGCCTTCACATCAGGTTAAACAGAAGTTGCTGTCATTTTAGAATCACTGATTACATCTTTTTAGTTAGAAAAAAGTTTACTTGAATATTTACATAATTTTATTGCTGTTTATTACAACAAAAAAAATTTTTAACCGATGTGTATGCAGAATCCATCCAGTAACACATGAAACTGAAATCCATCTCTCGAGAAGATACAGTTATGGCCGAATGTATCTGATGCTCAGTACAGCATGAGTAAGAAAAATCCTTGCATGTCATTTGGTTCTTGCTGTAGTCATCTGCGTTCATCTCAGAAAGCAAAAGAATCCATTTGACGTTTCAATAAATAGCAAAGTAACCGTTACAAAAAAAATAGCTTCCACGGACCAGAGATCCAAGAAAGAACAGTTTTGATGAATGATTCCTAGAATCGAGGGAGTCCTCCTTTAGTCCAATGAGATGATGTCAGGAATGTTACTTCCACTGCTGGTTATGACCCCTGTCTCACTCCTGCTGCTGGATGAACTAACATGAGTACTGCTTTCATGGGGGCTGGTGGTGGTGACAGACGTACTGCTTGCTGTTAAGGGTGAGGTGAGACTATCCAAAAACATAGGAGGACAGTACTGCTTGAAACAAACAATGATGCCGATGAGGAAGAGGCTACATTGGTTTTAAATAAAGAGACTAGAAATTGTTAGATATGCATAAGTGATAGCCACATATTTAAATCCTAGTGGGATTTAGAATTTCTCAAAACTTCACATCTTCGGATGGAAGGTGGTATGATTTTAGCTATTTTACTGTTTAGTGAGTGCAGCATATTTTTGATTCTCTCAAGTCTTGCAGAATTTGTAGACCAAGTATACAGGTCCAAGTACAAAATGTCAACAACTACTAAGATTATTTAATAGTAAATACTGGCCCCACCATTATGACTCATACTTAACCTCAAAAAGAATTTGCTCACTAAATGCATTTATGCCAGCTTTAAAGCACATAAAGGCTAACAATATTTATTTCTAATGGCATTAAGCAAAAATGCTAGTACAAAATTCAATAATTCTTTTAAAATTTAGTGTCAATCAGATTCTTTAGCAAGAATTTTAAGACTGATCAACTCAACAGTACCACTTGAATCCTTTAGACATACATGAAATGATACCTCTGTAATCAGGAAGAGAGCATTCATTCTAAAACAGAGACCATACAGTAGCTAACTACCACAGGATACTCAGAACAGAGAATTATCCCACATAATCACAAAATTTGGGGATAAATCTGAAAGGAGATATAATCTTCCTTGTGGGGCTTGATACTGCCCCCCTTCAAGAATTCTGATTTCAAGTCTCCTTACCATCTTGATCGCTGACTCTCAAATTCAAACCTAAAGTTTTAACACTATAATATCGTCCAAGAGGAGTAGAGAGACAAGAGCTAAATACCGCCACGAAAATATTTAATGTGAGAAACAGCAGCACCGACTAATTTTAGTAAAATAAGTGAGGACCAGTTATATACAAGAGGAGGAGTCCTAAAAATTTGTGTTCAGATCAACTATTTGAAAAAAGATCAGTAAGAATATTCAATCAATGGTATCAATTCTATAAAGTATTCCAGCCTATCGTTAGAGATACTAAGTTACCAAACAGTAACTTAAAACTGAAGTTTTTTTCACTACACGATCTTCCAAAAAATCTTAAAATGGCAACGACAGCCCCAGGCTCACGTTGCCAATCAGTGGAAGAGCAACGACCGAAATGTAGGCCGCCTGACAGAAAAAGTAGTTCAGTGTTTAGCATGGGTAACGGTCTTGGTTCATCCATAAAATAAACGTCATACACAAAGAGATCAAAGGGATACTGGTTAAGGGGGGAGAGCGTTTCGGGTGCTCTAAAGAGAGTAGACTTCTAAGGCATTAAACTTCTTTAAAATTGAATCAATTCTGATTTTCCGCTAAACAATCTGGAAAAAAGCCCAGAAACTTACATTTTATTTCTACTTCCTCTCAGGCAGTTTTTGACTGTCTAGTAGTAAAAAGGTACTCTCTTCATTTATAAGATGAACGCTTGATACCACAGTTCTGCTATCAATAGGCTCTACGAATTCTTGTCATACTCAGGGTGCAGCCATTTTACCTCTAACCATGTGTATCTAACCACGTGTATTGGCACGTATCTGCACAAAGGAAAAAGGGCCTAAGGGGGGTACTATGGAGGTAAAGGAGGACAAATCTAAGGATTTTAAGGAAAACGGAAGGCACAACCTTACCCTTCTACTGGCTTATCAAATAAGTTAGCCTGACACTAAGGATGCCAAATAGCACTATGAAATCAAAATCCTATGGGTTCTAAGATCATTTTTTAGAAGGGTGGTTCTCTTAAGATTCAGTAATATTTCAAGCCTGAAGAATGCATTTCCTAGAAAGATGTATAGATACTTTTGCTATAGAATCTACTAATGTAACAGAGTTGACTCAGAGTGAGAAGAAATTCCTCACTCTGCACACGTTATCCTGGGCCCAAATTTCCAGTGTTGCTTGCGTGATCAGATACAGAGTACGGACACAGGAGGCCGGTATAAGACTTGTGGTTAGCGGCCTCTGCAGCCTATGAAGCAGTGCTCTGTGGGTCTTCCTCTGGCCCTCCCTACCTGCAACAATTCTCCCAAAGTCACTCTCTGCTTCACTTTCCCCATGCCTTTCCCTTCTCCCCCACCCCGTTCTGCCTCTGATATATACGTCCGTCAGTCCACGTTTACTACTGGGTCCCTGGGATCCTCGAGTTTCTTACTGCTGACAGAGAAAACCGGAATGATCGGTTTATAGCAACTTTGGATTGGGGCATCCCCAAAGTCTGTATCTGACGGCCTTTAAAAACAAGGAAGAATCAAGCTAATGATTCAGGACTATTGAATCAGCTTCCGCTATTTTCTATGCATAGAACGAGTGCTTCACAGATAATCACTGAAATTTTAACTTCCAGTCATCAGCACTGTTTCCCCTCACTTTAATCACCCAAATGCTTGTAAGAAATGCTAACTGATTCTGAAAACTAAATAAAATATAACTAAAAATTCAGGTATTAAGTCAAAATATCATAAATTTGAAAACAGCAACTGTAGTCCTCCAAATAAAATTGTGAAATATTTACATAGAAATTCCTTTCCATCAAGTTAAGTAACTGCAAGTTGACTGTCCTGATTTTATGCAACTGGTCATTTTTTAGTTAGTATGACATAACCAACAATCAAATACAAATTAGTTGCTTAAATTCAGGATACATACCTGGGGATCAACTGGAATAAGGGAAAGAAAATCCAAACCTAAAACAAAAATGTTTTGTTAATAGTTGTCTCATAGTTTGGAGACAAGAATTATTTCCCCAAATCATTTTGTATTTATCATGAGTCATAGAACATTTGGGTAAGTGCTTACCATTCTGCCACAGAGAAGTTCAATACCATGATCAGTGAGAGTCAGATGCATAAAACCCCAAAATGAACATATTCCCTCACAAAACAACTGGAAAAACCACCACCCAGAGACTTAAAGGGAGCAGTCCAAAAACTGCCAGAGGACTGTGAAGTCAAAGTCAACTTTTCCCCTTCATCATTTAATAGAATGAGAAGCAATAAAAATGATGAGAGAATGATCTGGATTCGGACTATTAAAAAAAAAAAAAAAACATACTTAGGCTCTTAAAAGATACTTCACATTTATTTTTTTAGAAATACACCAACCACATTAAGCTTCAACTAAAGTAGCACTTCTTAAACAGAGATCCGTTTCATGGATTGCTCTCTGTCACTCTGTCCCCACATCAAGAGTAGTACACAGTTCAGTGCTCTGCACAAAGCAAGCACCTGGTTAACTGCTGCTCGCTAACAAGCCAAATCTTAGGGTTTACTGGGTTATAAGCTAATGCAGTTTTCTGAACCAAAGATCTGGGACTCTCCAATTAAGCTTTAGAAACAGGAATGTGGAAAAGGTTGCCCAGTAATACCATTTTAAAGTATTAAAATTATAACAATAAATAGTAAAAATTTTCAGATGTGAAAAGTCTAGCAATAAACTTCAAAGTCAGTTCCCCTAAACCTCCCTAAATTTCAAAACATTAAAAAAAAAAAAAAATCACATACTAGGTATAGGTCAGTGAGACAGGCCAATTTCTTGTTCAATTCTATGAATTTTTATATGCTAGCATTCAATGTCACCTCAAATATAACGATCATACAGAATACAAGTCTGATATTAGACTGTTACTCAAAATAGAGAATATCTGTGGAAATGATATTTAATATATTAAATAACCAATATGAATAATTTATAACTCTTTTAAAGTATATTTATTCCCTTATAATCTCTAAGGATATGATAAAAATGCTTATCAAGTGATACACGCTATAGCACCAATCATTTCAATGAAATCAGTTTCTAAAGCATCTTTAAAAACTGTTAATATGATTTTTCACTCCATATGCCTGTCACTAGCTATATGATACAATGGAATTTGAGCCAAAACTGGACAAAGGGGATCACAACGAACTTTTCCAACGACTTCCCCATTAAACTGATACTCACTAGATGACATCTCAATAAGCCAAGAGTTTCTTCACATTAATATTGTTCAGCAAATCCTGTGCTTCTGAAGAGAGTAACTCAAAATCTGTCTAGCCCTTATAGTACCTTTTGAATTTTATATAGTCAACATTTCATACTATTGACCAAGTCACAAAGACAGTTTATTGGCATGTCTTTTAATTGACTTAATTTTATTAATTTGGTTTTGCTTCAAATGGTATAACATTTTTCTTTTTAAAATAGCTTCTGCTTTTTGTAGCTTACTTAATTTTATATGTTCAATCACTTTTAATGTCTGTTCAATCACTCAGTCCATTTGAATAACTTAAACCTTTCTCTTTTTTTTTATAAAGCTAAAGGAAGTATTAATATCTCTTGCAATATTGTGTATTGGAGCCAAATCACTCAAAAATGCTCATTTTCTACATGTTTAAATATCCCCACTTCATAACCAATTGAGATAAATATACAGGCTTGATATAGTCTTCAAACGGTTTGTGCAGCTCCAGCACTGGAGGCTGCCCGGCAAGGTGCAAAGATGCTTCACTTTTTCATTAGTTCAATTCTCAGCTCTTCAGATGTACTCTAATTGTCTTTGATGATCATTTCATGTGTGCCAGTCAATATACACCGATGAGAGATTTAAGACACTTGATCTGTATCTTTTGACACTTTATCCAAAGATAACTGAATATGGTGACTTATAAAATGCCGTAATAAGACACCTAGAAATGTTTCTAAGTTTGGTTAAACTTGACTTTCTCCCTAGCATTACGCAGATGCTCTCTATACAAAATCCAACATTGTAATGAAATACTTTCACTGAAACCATTTTTTCTCAAACACTAACACTGAGGTTTGATGCGGTATTTCAGATGTTATTCCTTCTGACAAAAAAACTTTAAACTATTATCAAAGTCCTGCATTTTACATATTAAGTATACTATTAAAACTCTTACATGAAATAGATGAGGTTTCATGAATACTGATTAAAACATTACTGCCTTGTTTTTGTAAGTTTAGTAAAATGCTGTTTTCTTATTTCACCGTAAGTTTCAAATGCAATACGTTGTATTGATATGTTTTTACGCCCACCTACATATTTCATGGGTGAAAACGCTCAATTATTTTTAACTAAAAAGCAGGTAGTGTTAAAAATTCAGATGGTACATTCTAAATGTTTTATTAACACTGATGAAATTGTAGTTTCTGGATTTTAAATGCTTCCTTAAGTGAAACTGACTCTACATGTCTTATTAATAACACCACATTTTCCTTACTTGAGCCATGAACTTTAACAAAACATTAAGTATGTAAATGTTTAGCACTTTCCAATTTTAATGTACAACTTTTGAGCACCATTCACACCTGACAATATGGCACTAGCAATAATAAGGCAGTCATATTCTTTCTTGAAATAATCAAGCTGTTTTCCATTCCATAAATACAAATTTTTTGTTTTATTTTGTAATTCATTGTTGCACAGTATCAGAAGATGATCCAAGCTGCAGTTCATTATTAATATCATTTCTTCTTTGTTCTCCTGCAGATTCAGAAGATTCATATTTATGATGTTTAAAAGGAATGTTAAGAAATGTATTAAAACTTTGTCATCTCTCCATTCTTGTTCTATTTAATATTTTATTATAAATTATTAAATTTATAAATATGAAAACTCTGCACAGTAGGACTAATTACATAAAAATTATGCACAAAAATAAAACTAAAATAAGCACTAACTACAGAAGAGCACATTAACAATAAAACAAAGTAAAAACTAGACTATTTAGTTGTAGCAATTACTGCATAATTCATAGATGATGACAAACTGGTAATTCTTCTGAAGTACAACAGACCCTATTCTGTTCAATTTATCAAACGGTAAGAAAGCAGGTCAACGTTCTAATAAGCAGTGTCACCATCCTAGTTCACACTCGCTAAGTATCAGCCCTGCATATCAGTCTTAGTTCCTTAATACCAGCTTGGAACGTATTTTACAAAATACACAGTTCACATAACTTATTGCTTCTTACGCCTGCACTTTTTATAGTCTCCCTTATGCCCAAACTTTGAAATAATGTCAATTCTCCAAAATTAAAAATTCATCCAGACTCACGTAATTTGAAAACAAATGATCTGTAAACTGTGGCTGTTCTATTCCTAAATGGCCAGGGTCGCTTTTGTAAACAAAAAGTTTTTTCAGGATTATTTGTGATTTCAAGGTCTTTAGGAAAACGAATCCTTCTGGAATGTTTGTTTGTAACACACATGAAGATGATACACACTCTTCAACCTCCTTTAAAACTAGCCACAGTTAAAGGAAAACTTGGCAGTTACGAACTAAGTATCTCTGAGTTTCCATCTGTCTTATGGACCATGAAACTGCCCCTGTACCTTAGAATCAAGCTTTGTATACAACAAATATTTTTTAATTGGTGCCCGCTGGACTTAACCAAGTTTTAAAATGCCAATTCCCCAAGTACATACGGAGTAAACATAGACAGTTAAGTAGGTTTTTTGAAATTTTTTGATAGATACTATTATTAGTCTATTCTTCTCCATTAAATTTTACTCAAATAATCTGAATAAATTTCAAGTGGCAAGATTACACTGGGCCAGGTACCACAACTATCAACTGTTTCAACAACACAAATTTTGCCCAACAAAATATATGCTGTGCTTGAAATAAAGGCCTCATATAGAGGGATATGAAAAATAAATTGTAGGTCAAAAGTAACTTTACAAATCTAGAAAAGAAGATTATTAACAGGAAAAGAGAAGGGTATTCCACTAAAAGGGCCCTTCGGAAAGAAGGAAAGTCATGAATGTAAGAGGCACTGGCTTCAGCTTGCTCCAATTTGATTGATCAAAAATGCCTACAAAAACAATGGCTATGGAGGGAAGAAAAGTGGGGGGTCTGTGGGGGAGTTCCAAATTTCATAATATGGCCTTGGTTCTAAGGTTATTCGAGCAGCCTTGACTTTTTCAAAAGATATCCCTAAATATTAAGCAGTGCTCTAAGGAAAGAGCTGGTAGATCCTATTTTTACAGAGCAAAACAGCCTCACAGGGCAAAGCCACTGATAATGTTAACCCTGTGGTACACCAGGACGTTCTAAAGCTGTGATGGGCTACCGAGAAGATTATGAGAACACTCTACCGAATCTGCGAAGCTTCGATGACAAAGACAGTGTCTCCGAGTACAAATTACTCATGAGGGACAGCAACCCCAGAAAAGTTTCCTACCGTCCTACTAGATTTCCTATCATCAGTAATCCACAGATTGCTCTGTAGTTAAAATGACAGGAATTGAATGTGATATATTAAAACATACTTTTATATGAAGGCTTCAAATTTCCTCAGTATTTCCGTTTAAATTGTAACACTACGTTCGCTCCACAGATTTAGAGGAAAAACAAATAAAACTTGGTAACAAAAGAAAACAACTCTTCACATACCTGGCAAATCTGATGACATGCTTGATATTGGCGTGTGGTGGAATGGTACTGAGTAGTCTGCTAATGAAGGCGGAATAGCAGCCGGGTCAACCGAAGTCACACTGGGCACCCTTACAGAAGATGGCTGATACATGAGAACCCTGTTTTAAATAGCATGGGAAATTACAAACAATCTGGCTGTTAGTTCACAGGAGAGAAGGGCTGCACCACCGGGCATTCTCAGTCGTCAGCGCACTAAGTTTCAACACAACTACATGGCGGCTACTCACTACACAGTACTCCACTCTACTCTCCTCTTTCATAACAGTCTTCATTTTAACATGAACGTATGCTGGCTCTCAACAGCAGCTGTGACATAAGAGCAAGTTGGCATTAAAACATAGTGTACGGTGCTGGAGGAATACATAAAACTTTCATCCACAGAGAGAAATATATTTTACATATGCTTTTATGAATGTATGTGTAACATGGATGTGGATATTAGTAACTGCATCTAGAAAGAAACTTAGAGGGGCACCTGGGGGGCTCGGCCGGTTAAGTGACTCTTGATTTCAAGCTCAGGTCATGATCTCACAGGTCACGAGACCATGCCCCACATCAGGCTCTGCGCTGACAGTGTGGAGCCTGCTTGGGATTCTCTGTCTCTCCCTCTCTCTCTGCTCCTCCCCTGCTTTCACTCACTCACTCTCTCTTGCTCTCAAAATAAATAAACGTTAAAAAAAAGAAAAAAAAAGTTAGAAATAAACTAAGGCCTCCTAAGATTGGATTTAAATCATGGCACCTTTATAAGTAAAGCTATCTATTATATACAGTTCAACCAGAATTTCTTCCATTCTAACTTGAACTGTGTTAATTACTAGCAATCTTATCTGAGAGTCACCTGAGGCAACATTGCCAATCCTAACGCCAGCCAACCTGACGACAGGCAGCAATCAGAAATTAGAATAAGATGATTTCTCAAGACTTAATATAAAACATCCAGAAATAAAAATGTTAAGTTACTATGATATCATCTACTCTAAGAGGGTTTATAGACTTTGAAATTAACTAATCATGCTACTAAGAATACAAATTAAATACACTTTAAAAATACATTAACTGATTAATAGATACACACACACACACTACACACACACACACACACACACACACACACACACACACACACACACACAATTACAGCTTTATAATTTCAAGAAGCAGTTTAGTTAATCATATTTTTTCTAATGCTCAGGAATAAAGAGATGATTTTGCATTCTTCCTATTGAGCTTTCATTTTCTCTTAGCCCAGGTTAAACAAGACAGTAAACCTTACAAGACAGTATAAGCAATGTGATGGACCCTATGGCTGATGGTGGCCATCCCTTCTAGCCATCATCCTGGTGAGGCTGCAGTGGTAGCAGCTACTCTCTGAGCTTCCTGATGCCACCCAAGGACGACAAGAAGAAAAACAGGCAGGCAAATCAGACAAGAAAGGCAAAGACCCACTGAACCAATCTGGGGGCAAGACCAAAAAAGAAATAGTCCAAAGGCAAAGTTTGGGATCTCAGATCACTAACCTGGTCTTGTTTGACAAGGCCACATATGACAAACTCTGCAAGGAAGTTCCCATCTCTAACCCCAGCGGCTGTCTCTAAGAAATTGAAGATTTGCAATTCCCTGGCCAGGGCAGCCCCCTTCAGGAGCTCCTTAGTAAAGGACTCCTTAAACTGTTTTCAAAACATAGAGTTCAAGTGATTTACACCAGAAACACCAAGGGTGGAGATGCCTTGCCGCTAGTAAAGAGGCATAAATAGGTTCCACCAACTGTACATTTTGAAAAATACAACTTTGTTATTAACTGGAAAACAAAAAAGGAGAGGGGACAGAGACATAGGGACATTAATGCTGGCATCCCAAAGCACTGCCAATGAACTACTTACTATAAGCTTCATGAGAGAGGCACAGAATTATGTAGCTGGGAGGGACCATTACAAAAACGAAACCAACAGAAACTTAGGACCATGGTCACAAAGCTAGACCAAGAGGACCGTCAGGACCTCTAGGCGTCCTTTCCTTTGGCTGGAACTCTTCTTGTCACTGCTCAGATTATTAAATACGAACGGTAAGAATTGATGACATGGTTTCATGACACTTTTCATATCCTAAACAACTGACAAAATATTTCATGACCTCAATTTAAACCTCAAACCATTTAAATAATCACAACCTATTAGGCACTGGAGTCATTCTAAAACCAGTTTGCATGATGACACGAGGATCTTGTCCAGCTCTTACTCTACACTATCTGTCAAAAATATGGATGTCACTGGAAATGTGGAAAAGGAAGGCATCTTCAGAGTACATATATGGCTATGTTGACAACTGTGTTATTCTCAGAATAATGAATAAATAACACAGGTCAGAGTTCCGAAGTCTTAAAAGTGGACCCACCGGGAACAATACACTTGAGACAATTAACAGAAGCCTGGCATTTCAAACACATTTTCCAGAGGTAGATGAAGATGGAAGTCATCATCCAAACAGCAACCTGCCTAACTTAGAATCAGAAGGCTTCCTGGTCTCCACTGTTACCTAGAGACCTAAAATCACAAGCAGGAGGTGAACAATACTAGAAAAGGCAGATTCTCTGGAGGGGGAAAGAACAAACCGGGGATGAGATCAAATAAGTTATGTTGTATTAAAACACATCTTTTCCTAGAGGTTTGAAAACAGTGGTCCTCTACAGGGATGAAAAGTACAACAAGTAATCACCAAAAGCGTTTTCAAATTACACGTGATCCTACCATCAACATGGGAATACGTATCTGAAACAGGGGGCAGAGGGGGTAAAAAGGAAAGAGATTGGCGTGCTCATGCTGAGGAAGGGATTAAAAGAGTGGCTCTGATTATTCTATCTCATAGTATTAATATCCTAATCGTATTTTTTAAATGTAAGAGATAAGCTTTTGAAGACAGACACCCACACCCCCCCCCACACACATGCATGTCTGTGCCTACCTTCCTCCTGCTCCCCGTTCTCTTTCTTTCATATCTCATACTGAAAGTGTCTTTTGTCTTGACCCTGAACTGAACCCTGAACTTGAATCAGATTTATAGGTGACAATAACAAAACTCCTTTCCTCCAAGCCCCATTACTTACACCTGTAGAGTCAAGTCAGTGTCCCAACTCACTATCATCACAGTAACATCTAATTACTGCATAGGTTCTGACCTCATAACATGAAACTTTAAATGATTAAGTAACTACTCCTTGTTTCTCCAATACAAAACGCTGACTGTCACAATATGTGAAAATGTCAAAATCCAATGAAGCTACAAATTATTAGATCAACATCTAAAACCTCAGCAAACATCTGAAAAACTATTTAATGTAGATTAATTTCTATTAGCTGAACTTTGTAACCATTAACACAAATTCAATTTTTATAGAATGGGTAAATTAGCCATTTGTTACCATTATCAAATTATGTACTGGTAGCAGATTATGGTTTTAATCAGAATATTCACAAAGACAACATTCAGAAAGGTAAAGGATTCTAATGTCTATGCAAAAAATAGATGCATTTATAAAAATGGAATAACAGAGACCATGGAGAAATGTAAATGGCTATATCTGACGGAACTGTGGGTGTAAAAATGTGATGCTATAAAGTAATAAGAAAAATTTAAAGTTTGTAACATGTTACTGCCTCCTCATGGAATTGGCAAATACATACACGGGCATATGTATACATTAGGTACATATGCCTAATGTATACATATGCCCGTGTATGTATCTGCTTGAAATTTTTGTAGCTTTACCTATAACATCACAGCACAAAGATACTGCTGGAACATTGCTGGACAGCAAATAGTATTCTACAATGTGCACTGGATCACGGAATTCATCATAGTTGGCCCACATTTAGATGTCTGAAAATGAGTTAACAGTTCAATAACTTGAATATTTATCCATAAACCTGAAATTCCCTGTATGTTCCCAATTTATCATACAAGCATAAAAAAGACTCAATTTTGCTACCAATTGCTAATGAGTCTTAATCCACAGAAATACATATTTATCTCTATTCTTGTCTATTTCTGTCTTTAGAATACCTTATTAATGACAAAGCAATCATTCATTGGCTCAGGGAATGTGGTAGGGATACGATATTTAAAATTATCTTTCCATGTACAAAAATATCAGAGGTTTCTCTAAGTCTTAGGTTAAGGTGTCGATCTCTTCTGATTGGTACTGTATGATGCATTTAAGGACTACAGTAGGTACATAAGGTGAGAGGCTAAAAGGATTCCCGTCAAAATGTTAACACAGGTTATGTCTAGGTGGAATGCATTCTACTTCTTGATGCACTGTGAAATTGTTCTTAAGAGTAATTTTTACTAAAACAGTACCTCCTAAAAAATAACTGCTCAGATCTCCGGGATTTAACTGAAGGCAAGTTTTTCCTGCTTTCTTATTCTCTATTCTTTCTCATTTGCTTACTATCACTGGCCAAGAAGTCCTATGATAAACTTCTACAGCAATGGAAAACCATGAAAATGTTGGATGTTGAGCCACAAGACAGAATAGGGAAAGGAAGACCAGGAACAAAACCAGAAAAGCATTAAGACTGGGAAAGGATTACAGAGGTGACCTAACCACAGCATAAGTCTGGATCCATGACACCCACTGGGACAGGTGGCATCCACTATACCTCGACACAGAAGATGTGATTTTAGTATAAAACATCAACTTTCCTAGTGTTCAGCTCCTATGGAAAGTCTTTCCATATTATCTTTTCCTCCACTGGACTTAGATCTCCCAAATATTATAACAAAGAATAAACTTAATCCTCTTCATCAACGATTGATTCCCTTTTAAGAATTACAAGATATTCGCACATTCACATATTCTCTTGTCCTGGTTTAACAGCTTCAGTCCGTAGACCCATCCATCCATCACGTTACAATCTGCACAGTTTACCAGCCTGTTCTCATCTCCTGATGATCAACACGGACTAAGATGGTATTAAGTGAAAATCACTTAGACATAAACAGAATAAAACTAGCATGGGTATATCTCCTGGACGCTATGCTTCTTTCATTAACATAGCCTAAGAATCAATCAGCTCCAGAGTGGTAAACCTTTCAAACCATTGTGAATTCTAACATTTCAAAGAGTTCCTATCAGGAATGGCTACTGATGAACTAAATAAATACCTTTCCAGAATCCACTAAGATGACTTCACAGTCATCCTTATGACAAGATTCATTTTATCAATGTATTTCCTAATAATAAAGCATTCCTGAAGGTACCCTACTTTGTCCTAAGGATGGATATTGTTTGAATATACAATTAAATGATTTCCTAAGATTGAACTGAGAACTCTCATGGAGTTTTCTAATATGAGCCAGCTTCATTCTGTACGGTTGTTAATGTACAAATCTCATTTGGGTACTAGGAATTATGTTGATTTCATGGAACGAGCTGGGTAGCTGCAACTCACAGACTTTTTAAAGCAAAATGCAGAGTAGAAGTCCATTTATATAAAATGTCTAGAGCAGGCAAATTCATACAGATGGGAAGAAGATCAACAATTGCCTAGTTTAGGGGTATGAATGGGGATTAACTGCAAATGAACAAGAGAGAAGTTAACTAGGTGTTAGAAATATTCTACAACTGAATTATGATGATGACTGGACAACTGAATTTATTAGAATCAATGAACTGGGCAACTTAATAGTTAAGACAGGACATTTTTATGGTATATAAGTAACGACCCAATAAAGCCATTAGAAAAAGTAAGTGCACCGAGAGGCCCAAAGGACAAGACTGGCACACCCAAGTCTGAAACAATATGTTCAAGGAATGTCAAGGGAACCCTCTGCTACTTTCTTGCAGGTTCCAAAATTTTTTAGAAGCACCTATTGCTAAGTATTCAGACCTGTCACTATACAGGACAGTAACAGCTTCTACCAGCTGAATCATAAAAACTACATGCTAGAATGCATTTACTTGCCCATAGTTTGCCCTGGAGAGGATGAAAAGGGAAGGCAATCAATTTAACTCTTTCCTTATCTTACTGAAACCTGAAAATAATTTTATGAGGTAGGCATCATTTAACCCCATTTTACAGAACACAAAAAAAGAGGCTCAAACAAGTATTTCATCCAAGATCATAGAACGAGTAAGCAATGGTGTCAAAATTGGAATCCACACTTGTTAGATTCCCAATTCCACACTCCATTTTACACCAGGCTTCCTCATGTTGGTCTGTGACGCCAAATATACTCCTTACAAATTGGTTCAAGAAAATGACAAAAAGGATCAAATATGAAATAAATACTCAGACATGAGAAGACCTGAACTCTCACTTCCCAAAGATGTAAATAATTTCATCAAAATTTTCTTTCCTTTAAACAATGTGCTCTCTTGAAAAGATTTCAACTGAACAAAGGCAAATTAAAATAGCCTTCTACGGTTATGCAACTCTCAAAGAGACATTTACAAACCTATACCAAGAACAGTTAGTTCCAAGTGTAATAAACAATAGTGAACTATAAATTAACAAACCCTTTGGTTGGGCTGCTTTGTGTTTCTGACATAAAGATGCATTTCCTTTTGGCAGGAGGGTCTTCCTCTTCATCAGAAGAGCTTTCTATAGTCAAGTCAATAACATCCACTTTCTTCTTGCTTGTCTCATTGGCTACAGTCACTGAACAAGGCTTACTGAGGACACTTGAACCTGATGTAGGGAAGAGAAGGAAAAGAAAAAAAAAAAATCAAAGGTGCAATACACATCCAGGAGAATATACAGCCAGTAAAAAGCCACATACTCTGCTCTATGGATGGAGACTAACTCCTTAACTCTGGACATCTATCTATAAAATGACTGCTCACCTGGGAGAAAAGGTGAGCTCTATGCCCTGCCAGACAGTCAAAGCCTCCTTTGGACAGCATGCTCTTAGCTATCTCCCCAGTACTGCCAAAAAATCTGTTCAGATCCTGCTGCTCAAGCTGTCTCCCCAGGTAAGCAATCATTTTACAGACAGCCTGGGGTTAGGGGTCCAATCTCCAGTCACAGACAAAAGTATGTGGCTTCACTAGCTGTGTATTCTCATAGACGTGTGGCAGTGTTGAGTCAGAATCAGGCACTTCCATTACAGCAAAGCGGTACCCATGTCAAAGCATGTATAGGCCCCTCTCTGTAAGCCAAAACTGGGTAAAAATGTTCACCTCGATGAACTGAAAAAACTCCAAACCTCTCATTTAAGTTATTCAGATATTTGAAGCTCTTCTTATCAACCATCTACTGATCACTTAGGTTCTCCTTTCTGCCCACATATACCTACCATATGTTAACTCACCATTTCACAGAAATTACATTATGCCCTATAATCTGTTTAACAGAAAACTAAGGCTGGCTGATAGTGGAAAAGCAGCAGCAACTACTCAACTAAATCACTATTCTTCTCAAAGATGAGGGAAACCTCGATCATTCTACCTACAGGTTCGGTAACAATCAAAGAGAATTTTTTTTTTTTTTTTTTTTAAATAGGCTCCATGCCCAATGGGGGCTTAAACTCATGACTCTAAGATCAAGAGTCCCATGTTTTACCAACTGAGCTACCCAGGTGCCCCAAAAGAATGACTAATAGTGACATAAATCTTTTACTTTTTACTCTGAATACTCACTATTCATTATATTGTTAGAATGCCAAATATAATCAACACAAAACTCAAATGCAGTGAATGGACATGGTCAGATAAGAAGAAACATTCAGTTCACCTATGGGTTCAATTATTATAACTGTCCCTTAGTTTCCCCACTCAGTGTGGGCAGATATAGGGAGTTGAAGGTTAAGCATACATCCTAGGTAAAGGCAATAGTCAAATTTCTTCCCACAAAGAAATGGAAACAGTCTGTTCACTTCGTTAGCAACTAACCTGTGAGCACCTGCCTCTACCCTCCATTGATGGGTTATGTGGCCTAAGGACACCTAAACTTGGGGTTTCCCCCAAAAGTTTCAAAAAAATTCTGAAAGCTATCCATAAAAATGTCATTTATAACTTTTCACTCTGTAACAAACACATTATATTAAAATGACTTGGGGTGATTATTTCATTTACTTTATATATGACAAATATACTACGAAAAAGCTAATTATAAGGTGACATACACTTTACCAAATTTCTTAAGAGTAAAAACTGCTTGAGGGAAATTACGTATGTAACAGACGATCAAAAGATACAGTTCACAAACAAAGCTCCAAATGCAGGTCTAGTGGCCAAAGTTAACGATAAAGACAACGGTGCGGGGGTCTCATTGCTTTGCTCTCCGTGGCTATCCTGCACATACTTTCTATCTTTGTACACGGCTGGCTGGACACTTTCATAGCTTCTTTCTTCGGTCTCATTGGACACCAAGAGCCATCTTCTTGGAATTTGATCTCATCCACATCAGAACAGTCATTGAGAATTTCCATGAAAAGCCTATAAACCAATTAAGAAGTGCATAAATGTAATCCATGGCTTTGTTCAAAGGTGAGCTAAGTAACACATACTGCCTTGGAGACAAAAGTGATGCTATTTGACCTTTTTGTTTGTTTTGGTGTTTCAATACTTCACACTTTACAACAGCTGTTACACACCCCCCCCCCTTCCCCTCCTAGGTTTTAGATCTTTAAGGGGTTTACTGAGAATCATCTAAGAAACCAGTTGATTAAATAGACACCTGGAGCCTCCTAGCCAGGACTGGTAGTAAAGAGCAACCTCCAGCATAACATACAAAACAGACATGAGCAAATATAAAGGTTATTATACAAAAAATAATTTATAAGCTTATTATCAAGAAAAAATGTCATAGGGGTGGGGAAAGGAGCATTAGGGCCATTAAAAAGCCTCAATAAATTTAAAAGAACTCAGCATACAAATTATGTTCTATGACCATAATGAAATCTGAATCTTCAGAAATATCTGTGGAAAACGCCCAAATATTTGGAAACTAAACAAAACCACCAATGAGACAAAGAAAACATAAATTAGAAGGTATTTTGAACTGAATATGAAAATTAATAAAATTTGTGGAATATAGCTAAAGCAGTACTTGAAGGAAAAGTTATAGCATTAATCTTCTTCTATTAGGAAAGGACTCAAATCAAACCTCAGCTTCTACCTAAAGGAAACTAGAGAGCAAATTAAAATGAAAGTACACACAAAAAGGGAAACAACAAAGAACAGAAACAAATGAAATAGAAAAAGAGGAAAATCAATCAAAACAAAAGGCTAACAACCTTCAGTAAAACTGACAACCTTCTGGTCAGACTGAAGCTCACTCAGAAAGAAACAGATCACCTGAGGAACCCCACGTATATTAAAGAAACTGAATTTGTAGTGAAAAACTTTACCACAGAGAAAACCCCAGTCCCAACCATCTTCACTGGGGGATTCTACCAAGTATTTGAGGAGACAAAATACCACCACTTCCCAACTCATTTGTATGGGGCCAGGATTACTGTAGTATTAAAACCAGACAAAGGCATTACAAGAAAGCAACAGACGAATATCCCTCGTGAAATTTAGCAAAACAAAGCCAATGATAAAAAGGATAACATGATGCTAGACTAGAAGTTACATGAGGCTGTACTGCATGTTTACACAGCTAACACTTATGCTGGGATATACTTACCCATCTAAAATTAGACTTTCATAGGCAGCCTTTTTGTCGCACACAGGACAAATCCAGGTGGGCTTCTTCTCATTCATTTGCAGATAAAGGGCAGCATCAAAACACTGTAGATGTGTACAAGTCACTGCACGGCATGGGATCGTCAGCCTCATTTTCCCTAACTACAGAAAGGGAAGACAACAGGGGAAACCTTTCAGAAAGGGTAGCAAAGCCTCAAAGGCAAGAGTTGGTCATAAAAGTCTGAAAAGATCTCACAAGAAGATCAAAATGAAAAAGATTTTCAAACCAGAATTTCTTTCTAATCAAGATCACTACATATATTATTTGTGTTCACTCACTGCCCTATGACTTTTAAAAGACTATTTCAGGGGCACCTGGGTGGCTCAGTGGGTTAAGCAAGCATCCGACTCTTGATTTCAGCTCAGGTCACGATCTCACAGTTTGTTAGTTCAAGTACCACATTGGGCTCTTCACTGACAGTGTGGAGCCTGCTTGGGATTCTCTCTCTACCTTGCTCTCTGCCCCTCCCCTGCTTGCACTCTCTCCCTCTCTCTCAAAATAAATAAACATTTTAAAAAAATAAACAAAAGCCCATTTCAGTTTTTGAAAATAATTAACACGCGGGGCGCCTGGGTGGCGCAGTCGGTTGGGCGTCCGACTTCAGCCAGGTCACGATCTCGCGGTCCGTGAGTTCGAGCCCCGCGTCGGGCTCTGGGCTGATGGCTCAGAGCCTGGAGCCTGTTTCTGATTCTGTGTCTCCCTCTCTCTCTGCCCCTCCCCCGTTCATGCTCTGTCTCTCTCTGTCCCCCCAAAAAATAAATAAACGTTGAAAAAAAAATTTTAAAAAAAAAAGAAAATAATTAACACGTAAATTCAGAGGCAGAAAAAAATATATATACAACAAAAACCTGTCTCTTTCTCACCTGTTACCCTGTTTAGAGGGAACCGCTATTACCCACCTCTTGTATGCTCTTTCATAGATATTCTATGTATAACCCAGTGTGTATTTTAAAAATACATTTTCCCATAAATGGTGGCAAGCAATACACACAATTCTGTGCCATCTGTCACATAATACAACTTAATAATTATTTCACGTATATTCAGTACATAAAAAGCTACCAGGATATGAAGATATAATTGATGTGAAGTACGTGATATGAATGATCATTATTTACTTAACCAGTACCCTCCCCTGGTGATGGACATTTAAATTGTTCCTAATATTTTATCACTACAAATGATGCTGTAATAAATAACTATAGGCTAAACTCCCAGAAGTGATATTTTTGGGTCAAAGGGAAAGTGCATTTGTGATTTCTGTCATACTAACAAACTGTATTGATTTATGCATATACGTGCATTAATGAGTTTGGTTCCCCTCAACTTTGTCAACACAGTCCTATTAAATTCACTTTGATCTCTGCCAATCTGATAAGTGAAAACCACCCCATTATAATTGTGAACTACATTTCCCTTATTATAAGTGAAGCTGAGCTTATTTTTACTTTTTATTTTTAGAGAGTGAGAGAGTGAGTATGGAGTGGGGCAGGAAGAGAGAGAGAGAATCTTAAGCAGGCTCCATGCTCAGTGCAGAGCCCGATACAGAGCTCGAGCCCATGACCCTGGGATCATGACCTGAGCTGAAATCTACTCATCCAGCCAGGTGCCCTGTTCTTTTTTACTTCTAAGAGTTATCTGTGTTTCCAAGAGCAGTCTATACATAACCTTTTCTCCTTCCTGATTGGCTATTAGTCTTTGGTTATTTATCTACAGAAGCTTTACGTTAAGTCAGCTTCGTGTATGTGATATGAATTGCAAATGTGTTTTTTATTTACAAAAATGTTTTACTTGTGTATAATCACATGTGCTGATATTCCAATGTACTTGTATATAATTCAGTGCTCTATTCAATTCTTATTCCAATTGGGAGAGGTACACCAACATCAAGACACACACCCAGATTAGACAGAGTCTTTCAACAACCTTCCCTATACATTTCCTTTACAGAGAACCTATCAGTTTATGACCAGCTCTCTGTTATTCTGACAGAAAATGTGTTTCTCCCACTATGGACTCTCAACTCCACAAGGACAAGGTCCACGTCACTGTTCACCACTATAATCCAAGTGTCACAGCACAGTACCTGGCACACAGCATATGCGCAGTATTTGTTGACCAGATGGTAGAACAAATGGAAAGAGACGGGGAAAGTGGCAAAGGGAACAAAGGGGAGAAAAGGGAGGAAGGAAGGACTTCTTCATATGCCCTCTAAGTCCAGAAGAATTCACAGCAAAATTACATCGTTAACTTTGCCTGAGGGGTAGGATTTTTAGAATGTTCCTGTTTGTTTTTTTTCCCTTTTGGTTTACCTCTTATTTCTTTCTCCTAAAATGAACATTTGGTTATTTTGTAATTAAAAAGAAAATAATGTAGCCAAGCCATCATCACAGCCATAACTAATGTTTGCACAGTTCTACTTACACGCGAAGTGCAACGTTGAGTATATTTATTAATCCTAGTGAGCTTTTAAACCTAACAAGTGTGCTACATGATCCATCTATATTATCATCCGCCCCTGAGAACACTGAGGCACAAAGAGGGTAAGTAATGACGACCATTGCAAAGTCAGAAAGTGGCAGGGCCAATATGTGAACCAAGCAGCCCTGGCTCCAGAGTCTATACTCCTGATCACTGTGCTGACTCCATCTGAGGTCTAACTAGAATTCTAAACGGGATCTTAGAGGTTACCGTGATTCGTACAAGTATGTAGCACAAACAACTCATTATTTAAGGCAGAAAAAAAGTGAGAATAGAACTAAAATAGGCAATTTATCTTCTTATGATACTTGCTATGTTTTCCCTTCCTTTAATAACAAATTATCCCTTAAGTGATGTAGAATCTTACTGTGTGCTAAGGAGTTTTACCTAAATTTCACATAATTTTCATAACAACCCTATGACTCCAGAAAGAGTAGTACCTATATTAATGCTTTTGAAATGAAGATGCTGAGGCTACATGAGACTACCGACACCACACTCACTGAGACACAGTGGCTGGAGCTAGAACGCAAACCCAAATGTTTTTCACTTCCATGAGAACCCTCCTAGTTTTTACATCATACATGGTCCTGGTTCTCGGTTTTTAATTATCTATCCTTCCCAATTTTGCTAACAGTTTTTGTTCTGTTAGGAATGGATTTAGCACCTAATGAGATGATCACAGGGGTTCCCTCCCACCTTTCAATTATTAATATAAATAATTTTAATAGATTTTCTAAAATCAAACCATTGCATTCCTAAGAGGCATCCCTTTGTTATCACATATTATTCTTTTAAAATACTGGATTCTTCTTAAAGTACTGGATTCTAGTGGCTAGTGTTTTATTTAGGAATCTTTCATCATTGCTTTTTTTTTTTTTTTTTTTTACACAATTTAGTGCCTAGAAATAACCGAAATAATAACTTTTTTTAAAAAGGTTGAACAAGTAATTTACACCATACCCAATCAACAAAATACCTCCAGTGACTAAAATAAGATACATCTACACATTAATTTTTAAGATATACTGTTAATTTTAAAAAAAGTAAAGCACAGAACCGTGCATGCAGCACAATTTTTTCCAATAAACATGCATGATTATGAACAATAAAGTTAAATCTAGAAAGATGTATTTCATACCATTAGTAATAATGTTACTTCTGAGTAACAGACTTAAGCAATTAAAAATTTTTTATCTGAATACTTTTACAATAAAGTAGGTATTAATTGTCAACTTTCAAAATTTATTCCTTTAAAATAATGCTCTAACTTGGCCTACTGTGTTTTTTTTGACTACTAGTTCTTGAACTTTTGGCCTCAGAATCCTTTTACTCTCTTAAAAATCGAGAATCTCAAATAATTTTTATGTATATATTAATCAATACTTACTACAGAAATTAAAGCAGACATTTTTTTTTTTAATTTTTTTTCAACATTTATTTATTTTTGGGACAGAGAGAGACAGAGCATGAACGGGGGAGGGGCAGAGAGAGAGAGGGAGACACAGAATCGGAAACAGGCTCCAGGCTCTGAGCCATCAGCCCAGAGCCCGACGCGGGGCTCGAACTCGCGGACCGCGAGATCGTGACCTGGCTGAAGTGGGACGCTTAACCGACTGCGCCACCCAGGCGCCCCTAAAGCAGACATTTTTAAAACAAGAATACACAAGTACACACTACACCACCATCAGTGACCCTTGTTAACCACCACTGTCTACTCAGGATAGAATGAGAGCAGAAAAAGGACAAACTGTGTCCTGGTATTATTATAAAAATAGCTTTGACTTCATGAACTTCTTCAAAAAGTTTCAGGAGACCCCAAGTATCTCTGGGTCACACTTTGAGAATTTGCTTTTTATCTTCTTCAGTGCCATTTTCATTTCTCCTGTCACTGCCTCAGAATTTCCACAACATACAGAACTGAAAACATTCACTGTTGTGGAAGTTAATGATCCTAAATTTAATCCTACTCTACCGTCTCTCAAGAGTTAATGAGCATTTCCCAAGTTAAAAAAGCCTTTCTTACCATCTGGCCAAATGTGATCAATTTCCTAATACTGATCATGGTGTGTTAGTAAAAGAAATTTTGAATGTGTTAAATTCTATTTAGTCAGATGTCTGATGGATAACGGGCACCTGGGAGGTTCAGTCGGTTGACCACCTGACTCTTGATTTCGGCTCAGATAATGATCCCAAAGTCATGGGACTGAGCCCCGCATGGGGCTCCACACTAAGTGTGGAGCCTGCTTAAGATTCTCTTTCCCTCTCTTTCCCTCTCTCCCCATCTGCCCCTCTCCCCATTAGCACATGTCTCCAATAAAAAAATAACAAAATAAAATACTCTATTTAGTCAGATGATGGTGCTGTTTTATGAATGAAATGGTTCCCAACCAATTCAACACTTTTTTTGATTTGTAAAAATTTTTAAGTTTTAAATGCCAGTTAACAGTGCAATATTAGTTTCAGGTGTACAATGCAGTGACTCAACAGTTTCATACAATACCCAGTGCTCACCGTATCAAATACACTCCTTAATACCCATCATCTATTTCTCCCATCCTTCACCCACCTCCTTTCTGTTAACCATCAGTTTGTTCTCTGTAGTGAAGAATCTGTTTCTTGGGGCACCTGGGTGGCTCAGTTGGTTGAGTGTCCGACTTCAACTCAAGTCATGATCTCACGGTAAGTTCGAGCCCCACACTTGGCTCACTGCTCTCAGTGCAGACCCTGCTTCAGATCCTCTGTCCCCTCTCTGCCCCTCTTCTGTTTGTGTTCTCTTTCTCAAAAATAAATAAAACCTTTTTTTTTTTTTTTTTAAAGTCTGTTTCTCAACAGATGCTAGCGAGGATGTGGAGAACGGGAAACCCTCTTACACTGGTGTGAATGCAAACTGGTGCAACCACTCTGGAAAATGGTATGGAGGTTCCTCAAAAAGTTCAAAACAGAATCACCCTATGATCCAGCAACTACACTCCTGGGTATTTACCCAAAGTATACAAAAATATATATTCAAAGGGGTACATGCACCCTGATGCTTATAGCAGCATTATCAACAATACCCAAACTATGGAAAGAGCCCAAATGTCCACCGACTAACGAATGGATAGAGGAAATGTGGTATATACACAAGGGAATATTACTCAGCCATCAAAAGAATGAAATCTCACCATTTGCAATGACGTGGATGAAGCCAGAGTATATTATGCTAAGTAAAATAAGTCAGAAAGACAAATACCATAGGATTCCACTCATATGTGGAATTTAAGAAATAAAACAGATGAACATATGGGAAAGAAAAAAGAGAGAAGCAAACCATTAGAGACTCTTCACAATAGAGAACTGAGGGTTGATGGGGGATGGGATAAATGGGTGATGGGTATTAAGGAGAGCTCTTGTTATGATGAGCATTTGGTATTATAAGTAATGAATCACTTAATTCTACTCCTGAAACCAATATTACACTATAGCTTAACTAACTAGAATTTAAATAAAAACATGAAAAAGAAAAAAAGGGTCTGTTTCTTGGTTTGCCTCTCTTTTTGCCCCTTTGCTCATTTGTTTCTTAAATTCCACATGAGTGAAATCATATGGTATCTGTGTTTCTCTGACTTACTTCGCTCAGTATTAATGCTCTAGCTCCATCCATGTTGTTGCACATGGAGAGATTTCTTTCCTTTTATGGCTGAGTAATATTCCAGTGTGTGTGTGTGTGTGTGTGTGTGTGTGTGTGTGTGTGTGTGTGTGTACACACACCCCACATTTTTTTATCCATTTATCAGTCAATGGACACATGGGCCATTTCCACATAATGCTGCTATAAATATCAGGGTAAGGGGTGTGTGGTTGGCTCAGTCAGCTGAGCGTCCAACTCCTGATTTCAGCTCCAGTCATGATCTCATGGTTCATGGGTTTGAGTCCCGTGTCAGGCTCTGTGCTGACAGCACAGAGCCTGCTTAGGATTCTCTCTCTCTCCCCTTCCCTCACTCATGCTCTCTCAACATAATAAACAAACATTTAAAAATAAGTATCAGGGTACAGGGTGCCTGGGTGGCTCAGTCGGTTAAGCATCTGACTTCGGCTCAGGCCATACTCTCACGGTTCCTGGGTTGTTCAAGCGTCAGGCTCTGTGCTGACAGCTCAGAGCCTGGAGCCTGCTCTGGTTTCTATCTCTCTCTCTCTCTCTCTCTCTCTCTCTCTCTGCCCCTCTTTGCTCCTGTTCTCTCAAAAATAAATATTGAATCTCTCTCAAAAATAAACAAACATTAAAAAAAAATTTTTTTTTAAATAAGTACCAGGGTAAAATGTTAAGCAGAGTGTCTAAATTGATTTTCACTCTACTATAGTCTAATCAGTATCTATCTAAATTAATAAAGAATGTGTATAAGTAAAAAATGGCCCAAATCAGTGGTTCCAAGCTATATATGAGTCAGAATCTTAACAGTTAAAATCAAACCCAGCTTCGTTGTTTATCCCCCAGCCACCCAGCCCATGTCTGCAGGACAGACTGAAAAATCACTAGCTGCTATCACTACAACTCCTGTGTAAAATTCACTGTGTTCAGAAATATAATTACACACACTCAATCAGATCCCACCTTCAATAATGACTGTAAAATTACCTTTCGTAGGTCCCAAGGAGAGAGGCATTGGACTGTGCTCCCCACTATCCAGATTCATGTCTACTCTGAATCATTTTATAAACATACTGTGAAATATAACTAACATCTCTGCCACTACCTTAAAGCTATCATTTTCTCTCATTTTTGCCTCCTATCCCAGGGTTCACCTCTTAACCTTCCAAATGCCTACGATCCATTCTGTGCTTCTCTATTTCCTACCACTGCACCACACCCTGTGTTAGTTCCACAGCCAGCTAGCTGCACTCTTTTCTGCTTTCTTCAACTAATACCAGTACTGTCTCTTCCTCAAAAACGACTGTCATTCGTTTCATTGCATCATATCCTACAGTTAGCTTCAACTTCATGTTACCACTACCACAGCCTGAAAAGAACCATTCATGCTTTTCTTAGTGCTGAGCAAACCAGGTAGGATGAATACTTAAGCTCAAAAGACAGTCCAAGGAACAGACTTGTTTCACTTGTCAGCAGAGAAAGAGAGTATTTAATAAACTTAAAGCAGGATCTTGTTACTTCATCTCTTTAAAAAATTGAAACGTTAATGTTCTTAAACACGGTCAGCTTTACTGAAAAGAAACTGCTCCCTATTCTTATACAGAAGGAACCTTAACCACTCTGATATACCACCTTCACTATTTTGAAAATCTGAGAATCCATTAGTATGTTGGGCTATTGTGTTTTGTTTTGGTTGTTCTCATACAGAATGGCACAGTGGTTGAAGAAAAAAAAAAAGGAAACAAATTAAAAGAATAAAAAACAAATGCCAAGAAAATAAGACAGAAAATGGCATCATGCAACTGTTAGAACTCCTCAGGTAAGTTATATCGAAGCACTTTCTTCCTGACTGAACATTCTGCTACTAAAGCATAAAAATAATACAGGGCACCTGGGTGGCTCAGTCAGTTAAGCATCTGACTCTTGATATCCGATCAGGTCGTGATCCCACGGTTCATGAGTTCAAGCTCCGCATTGGGCTCTGTGCTGACAGTGCACCACCTGCTTGGCATTCTCTCTCTCCCTCTCTCTCTGCCCCTCCCCTGCTCACTCACTCGCTCTCTCTCTCTTAAAATAAACAAACATTTTTTAAATGCTGCAGACAAATTAAAAAGAAAACAATAAAGGTAACATGAATTCCCTTCCCATATAGCGACTATGCCTAGAATATAGCCAGCAATTAACATTTACTCGATATACTAGTGTTAAACCATAAAGAACTGTCAATATTCAACTGTTTTTGACCAACAGAATGACAATTTCCTGTGTTTCAATTTAGTATCAATTTTAACACAAGAGGGAGGAAAGGGTAATGTGAAGATACTCAGAAGAACTCGTGCCTCAAGGTCTTGTAAGTAGAAGAGGAGGTCCCGGGTCCAAACACAAGCCCTACAGGGCCTCTGCCTCCCCATCGGGGCATGAGTTGTGTTCCCCCCCTCTCCTGAGACTGCAGACATTCTCTCTGGGTCTAATAACCAGAGATTCCCAATTTCTAAGCAATCCCAATTTCATGCAATTCTAATCCTTTTCAATAAAGCTAAGTTAGTTCAAGTTAATGATAATTAAAAAAATAAACTCAGAAAGAAAGATATCTATAGACACCACTTTCCAGGGTGAGAGAGAGGTGGACTTATAACCAGGATATATTTCAGCCCAGTCTGGCATTATGGCATGTTGTTCTGAGAACTGGAATAATGTCAGAAGATCAAAATTTTTATCCTTGTTCTACTACTAACTGTGTGATTTGGGTTAGCCAACCTCTTTTAGTCTTAGTTTTCTCATCTGCAAAGTTTTGCTAAGACAGTTAAATTAAGGACCATATGATAGGAACTCAACAAAATATTCCCTTCTCTCCCCCTCCCTCTGACACAATTCTCTCTCCATGTAAAATACTGTACATTTCTCACAATGGTGGCTGGTCACGAGTTGCTCCCAAAACTACACTCCTGATTCCAGGACTTTTCTCATAAAGCTCCTCACATCTGGAAAGGGTCCCCTCCAACAGTACTGATTTTAAAGAAACTGTCATTCACTATTCCTGACCCCTCCCATCTCTTTGGCACTCTATTAGCAAGATTACATGCAGTAAGTACGAGTTAGCTTTATCTCTCAAACTAGACTCTTCACTTTCTGACAACTTCCTATCAAGTCCTCAGTATTTTCTCCCGAAATTAGCTCAGTACCAAGCATATAGGAGAATCTGAATGTTCCTGACTGATTTCTACCCCTAGCCTCTATGTAAAGAGATATAAAAATTATCGTGCAACTTGGGTGCCTGGGTGATTCAGTTGGTTGACCGTCTGACTCTTGGTTTCGTCTCAGGTCATGATCCCAGGGGTGGTGGGATAGAGTCCCATGTCAGACTCTGCACTGGGTGGGGAGCCTGCTTAAGATTCTCCCTCCCTCTCCCTTTCCCTCTCACCCCCCCTCTGTGCCTCCCCCAGTCGTGTGTGTGGGCTCTCTCAAGAAAACAAAAATTATTGTGCAACTCTGAAGTATATTATAGATTAAGAATCTCACACATTCTAACTCATTAAACCAGAACTATCAGTCAGCATTATCAGGTACTGGTAATTTTACTGCTATTTTCAATACTGTTTATATTCCGATAAAAGGAGCCAACTCTCTACATACGTTTACTGTTAGCTGTGGATGGTCTAGAGCAAAAAACTCTGACAGATTATTTTGAACCTACTAAATAAAGCTCTCTTCCCTCTTTGATAAAATCTTTTAGGTCTCTTCTTGTTCAGTTAGTGCTTAAACAATGTCTGCATTCTTTAGAATTATAATGCTTAATCATTAAACTTCCTGAATGGAAAAACAACAAAAGTTCAGAATTCTATCATAATAGATCATTCGTCCCACACTTACTTTTATAGGAAAATTAGTAATTCATAGAAAGCAAAACACCCCAGAATGTCTTGCTGCGTTACTTACAGGGCACATCAAGGATACCCGGAGGCTAGTTGTAGCAATTTCACTGTCAGGATCTGCAGTAAGTTTTTCTTTAACTTTAAAAGAAAGAAAAAGAATTTAAAAATTTTTTCAACGAACTGTAATAATTATGAACAGAATTACAGAAATATATATCATCTTATTGTTGATACGTTTCCCAAACATTTCCAATAGGTCAACCAACTATAAAAACATAAAAACCCCCGAAACATTAAGGATTAACATACTGAAAACACAATCCTACTTCCAGCATCAGGTTTAAGCATTACAAACTTGCAAACTCTAGATCACATGTTTAACTGAATTTTTAAGTTTCCTTTTAAAAGTAAAATTGGAGGGGCGCCTGGGTGGCGCAGTCGGTTAAGCGTCCGACTTCAGCCAGGTCACGATCTCGCGGTCCGTGAGTTCGAGCCCCGCGTCAGGCTCTGGGCTGATGGCTCAGAGCCTGGAGCCTGTTTCCGATTCTGTGTCTCCCTCTCTCTCTGTCCCTCCCCCGTTCATGCTCTGTCTCTCTCTGTCCCAAAAATAAAAAGAAAGTAAAATTGCAGGTAAGGAAGAGTTTCAAAAACAGAAATCTGCTTAAGGCTTCAGAACAATCCAACGGTTAGGAAAGGCACTTGGAAACCAGCAGTACTCTGGGCTTTAACGCTTTCCTCACACACACTCATAACTTTATTAGGGAGTAATTTGTAAACAGAATGGGCACAATATTCTTACACTTCCTTTGACAACTGAAAACTACAATGGACGTGGAATGTCTCTGCAATTTTATTGACCAGGTGATGGATACAAGGTACTGTATACACAAGCTAACAATTATACGTGTGGCCTTTAGGTGCCTAATTCTCAACACCATCCTGAGAATACATCAGGAAATGAAGGCCGCTGAATCCGAACAGGGCAAGCAAGAAGAACTACGGGCTTCTCTGGCTTCCCGCTCCAGGCAGGAAGATGGATACTGTGTCATTTCAGGAGATGAGGATGGTTTAAGTACAAGAAACGCAACATCATTTCAACAGCCCTACTTGGCTCCCTTTTCAATCTGTAGATCCTCTTTTCCTTTCCGGTTCATTCAGTTGGTATGGAAGGTAATTTGAGGGAAAATATTCTCTTTCCCAGGAAAATATCTGTTCAATTGAATTAAGTTACTGAACTGAATTATTTACAGTTTGGGTTAGACTTTTTTCTCTATTATTACATAAAACAAAACATCTGAGAAGGCAAATACTGTCGATAGTTATCAACATTCTTCTGCAAAAAGAGCCTCTTATTTAGAATTTTTTAAAAGGTACATTCTATTACACACTGGAGGTTCTGAAGACTTGCATTTCTATTTGCAAGTCAATGTATGCATCCAAATTACCACCAACCTGACATTTACCTAAATAAATTTTCATGAAAAACCCCCAAATCAGACTAGTTGGGATTTTAAAATTGATCCACTGGGAGTGATTTCTAAGAGAATGGTTTTGCACATTAGAGGGCTCTGTTCTTAGAATACTTTTAACTCAAAATTCATTTCAAGTTTCTAATAATTCTTCCCAATTATTCCTGTATTGATGTATATGTGAGGCTTGCTTTTTTTTTTCCTCCCCATTAAAGCATCTCATATGCTTAGTCTTACAAACATTACTTACTTAGTGCTCTGGAATGATCAGGGTTTCTAATACCTTTCATTTTTAATCTCTGTAATAACATGGCTGACGTGAGCTGTCGTACAAGATATACAGACATGGAGTAATTCTACAAAGAAAGATAATCTGTATTAAAGACAAGAGATAATAGCCTATTTACAAAAAAATACTTGTCTAAAAATTCTGGTTGCTAAAAATAACATTCAAGATAACTTTCACAGGAAGGTCAATGACTGGGAAGGGAAAAAAAATCAACTCAGCTATTTTACAAAAGACAAAAACTCAATCATATTAAAGGTATTTCTAAATCACTTAACCCTTCAAAACATCCATGTGAAAGATAACATATATCAGTAGTTTTCAAACTGTGTTTCTAATTTAGCAAAACTGCTATCTTAGGGGCAATGATGATATGAATGAGAATGTACCCTCTCATGCCTACTTCTAACTAAAATTGTTCTGTTTTTATGTATTGGAACTGTCAGAATATTTTCACTGAAGAACAGGTTCCACTGCAGAAAAAAAGTTCAAACACCAGGGATGTGAATTAACACTTCAAATCCAGAGTTTCAAAGTTCCAATTCTGGAAGAAGAAACCACTTCATACATGGCCTTGAGCAAATCTTTAAATGAACCCAATATTGGCTTTCCTCTAAGAAAAACTCTGACAAATTAACTCCTGTTCCCAAATGCACATTAGGGAAGGGACAGCTACTGTAGTAAATAAGACACACGGAGAAAACGATAAAAATCAAAAAGACAAGCCCAGAAAAAAAAAACAGCATCCAATCCCATACCTCTAGGATCTGGCACAAAGGAACCTTCGTTAGCTATTTATAGAGCTATGAAGAGATGAAATATAATTTTACCTACATACTAAAAATCTCTTGCAATTTAACTACATATATTCATTCAATTGATTCTACAATAAATGGAATACTTTTAATAGTTACCAAAACAAGTATTTTAAATATTATTTTTAATGTTCTGCAGTAGTCCTTTTAAGTATCTGAGGAGTACCCAATATATATAGTGTGCAGGTTTTAAGTCAATTAATCATTTTAATTATAAGGAAAGAATATTATTCCCATTATGTGGCAAAAAAACCCTCCCAGGTCTTCCATGTCTACAATCATTTACTCAAAAATCTGCAAGTTAATAATTACTTCAAAAAGATATACTCTTCTATTCGAATCCTTCTCCTAAGCTTTAAAGCCTTAATACTTGCTCATTTAACAACGTTCCTTGCATACAACACCCATTCTCAAGATTTTACTTATTCGTTAAGTAGGCCTCAGGAAATTAAGCAACTCTGCTAAAATCAAACAAGGGCCAACTTGGGACTAAGCCAAAATTTTCTGAATCCTTATCCAATGCTTCGCTACATTACACATTCAGTTTGTGAAAATGAAAAATATTAGGAATCAGTGCCCTATGATAATAAAGACAAGTGAACAGTAACAATTCAAATATGAAAGCTCAAGAAAACAATCATTAAAGGGACAGTAATATTTTTATAGTCCAAATATTAATACAAAATATTCTTTATGTCCAGCTCTGCAACTGCCTTGGTGACACAACCACAAAATTCCTGCTATAAACATAGGACTCGATTTCTCCATCCATATAATAGGAATATTACCCTTTACCTCTATGAAACAGCAAGATGAAAGTTGATGTTCAGAAATTAACTGAAATCTCTTTTGCCATTCTATTATTTCTAAATATAAACAAATAGTTCTAAAATAGAAATCCCATGTTGTATTAGTCAGTACCCCATAAATGATATAACACATTTTGAGACTAAGAATTAGTAGAAAGCCAGGTTCAAACATAAAGGTATTGAAAAAATAATGTATTTTCATAATTCAGGGAGGTGAATTAACACTTCAAATCCAGAGTTTCAAAGTTCTAATTCTGGAAGAAGAGACCACTTCATACATGGCCTTGAGCAAATCTTTAAATGAACCCAATATTGGCTTTCTTCTAAGAAGAACTTTGACAAATTAACTCCTGTTCCCAAATGCACGTTAGGGAAGGGACAGCTACATTATGAAAAAATAATGTATTTTTCACCATGTTATCTGAGGAAGGTGTTCATGTAAAGCTTGGAATGGATTATTTCCAACCACAACATGAGCGCATTTAAACATTTTCCTCAAAGCCTGATAAAGCTTTGTTCCCCTTCATAAATATATAACATCATCCAAAGTTTCCAGTTTCTTAGAACACCACTTAAACACACAAACACAACTGTGATTAAACAATTTCCTTAAGAAATACTGTAATTACACTGACTTCTTTTCCAAGAAAATAAAGAGATGGCATTCAGGAAACCTTAAACTTTTTAACTTTGAGAATCTCTACATCTTCACCCCAAACTGAAAATGACTGCTTCTTGGAGATTACAATCAGAAAACTGACAAGTTAGAGCTAGTAGCATGAGCTAAGAAAAAACAAATCAGCTCCTAGTGAGGTCACTTTCAGGCTACCCAGAAGAGAGTCTTTACCTTTCCGATTTCTGATGCCCACGAAATGGAAATCTGGTTTGGCACAGCTGAAGATAACCTAACTAAAGATGTAATATTCAAAGGGCGTCCAGGGCGCTTCTGTTCAATCCCATTTTTAGGTGGTGGTGCATAGCCCTAGAACCATAAGAAAGAAAAATAATTTTATATTCTCTGCAGGGGATCAAACATCTTCTCCAAGATAGATACAGATTTGCCTGATTTCACTTATACTAAATTATTCTTTTCTTATCCTGGAAATCATACAGTTGTCATCCTAAGTTCACCAACCCAAAAGAGGAAAATGATCTTCTTAAAAACGTTCTATTTTGGGGCACCTGGGTGGCTCAGTCAGCTGAGTGTCCGACTTCGGCTCAGGTTCTGATCTCATGCTTCAAGAGTTAGAGCCCCGCACTGGGCTCTGTGATGACAGTGCAGAGCCTGCTTGGGATTCTCTCTCTCCCTCTATCTCTGTCCCTCCCCTGCTCGCTTGCTCGCTCTGTCTCTCTCAAAATAGAAAAATAAACTTAAAAAAAAATGCATTCAAATACCGGGGATGGGAAAGAGGGAAAACAAAGTCTGGGAATTAAAGAACAAATTAATGCAAAAATAAACTACTGGGACTACATAAAAATAAAAAGCTTCTGCCCAGCAAAAGGAAACAATCAACAAAATGTAAAGACAACCTACTGAATGAATGATAGTTGCAAACGATATATCTGATAAGGGGTTAGGATCCAAGATCTATAAAGAACGTAAACAACTCAACACTAAAAAAAACCCCAAAGAATCCAAATAAAAACCGGGCAGGACGTGAACAGACATTTCTCCAAAGACAACTTACACATGGCCAGTAGACACATGAAAAGATGCTCAGCATCACTCAACATCAGGAAAATGCAAGTCAAAACTACAATGAGGTGTATCACCTCACACCTGTCAAAATGGCTAAAATCGAAAACACAAGAAACAAGTGCTGGCAAGGATGTGGAGAAAAAGGAACGCTTGTGCAAACTGCTGGTGGGAATGAAAACTGGTGCGGCCACTGTGGAAAACAGCGTGAAGGTTCCTCCAAAAATGAAAAAGAGAACTAGGTATCTATCCAAAGAATGCAAAAACACTAACTCAAAAAGATATATGCACCCCTACATTTACTGCAGCACTGTCCATAATAGCCAAATTATGGAAATAGCCCAAATGCCCATCAACAGATGAATGGATGGATAAAGAAGAGGTGGTATATATGTACATTTTTAAATTCAGCCATAAAAAAATGAAATCTTGCCATTTGCAACATGGATGGAGCTAGAAAATATAATGCTAAGTGAAATTAAGTCAGAGAAAGACAAATACCATATGATTTCACTCATATGTGGAATTTAAGAAACAAAACAAATAAGGGACAAAAAACAGACCAAGAAACAGATTCCTAACTATAGAGAACAAACTGACGGCCACCAGATGGGTGTGGAGGATAATTGGTAGGGATTGAAGAGCACACTTATCATGATGAGCAGTGAGCAATGTGTAGAACTGTGCAATCACTATATTATACACCTGAAACTAATGTAACACTGTATGTTAATTATACTGGAATTAAAATTTTAAAACAATAATAATAATAAAATATATTTGTTGTAGTTTGTGGGGAAAAAAGGAACAAA